AATAGCAGTAGGTTAAAGAACACGCAGCCGATACTTTTTGGTCAGCTTACAAAGCCAACCAATGTACATATAAGTTAAGAAGGCAGAACGACTTATTTAACCACGCAACGGCAATAAGTTATAATATAATAGAAGATCACTCATAATAAAAATGGTTCTGTCTATCTTCCTTTACTGCTGCTCCTACTACATTCACTTTCAGATATAAGAACCAACACTAGCAAAGCTAGTCCCTAAGAAGCTTTGCGTCATTGACTGCGAACATGATGGCTGGCGTCTGCGGCCGCTCGTAGCTTCTGCCGAAGTCGACTCGTCAACGAATTCGTCGTCTATCGTCGGTGTCTCAGTCGACACTTTTTCTTCATCGGAATTGCCCGCTTCATCTTAAAGAAAAAAAAAAAAAACAAGGATTTAGAAGTGGAAAAGAAAAAGCAGATGATTTTTTTTTAGTTTTTTACACGAGTTTCTGCTATAAATTGTTAATGTAAAATTCTTCACTTTTATGCCTTTCCATTTGCTTTGTAAGTATCCAAAATATAAGCATCCTAAATGCTTCAAAAACAACACTTCAGCCCAACGCAATTGTAGTGTGATTATGGTTCAAATAACAAATATTCAAAGAAAATCTCATTCATCACTGGTAATCACATTTTCTGGGAGCAGTTACGACAATGATGAAAGAAATATTGCAAACTTTTCAGTTGCTTTTGGACCAGCGTTTTGAAAAGACCCTCTTTTTCTGCAAGCTCGCTGTAAACCCCTTCTTGTTCCACTCTTCCATGGTTTATTACAATTATCTTATCAGCATTCTCTACAGTACTAAGCCGATGAGCTATAACCAACACTGTATGACCACTGAGGTTTTTGGATATTGCTTCTTGTACCTTAAAAGGTCGTTTTATCTTGATCGGTTCATAAACAAAAATAAATTTTTTAAAGAAAGAGACTGTTGTTGCACGTTAAATAACCATAAACTTAATATTTTGGAATAATCGACAATTTTTGATTGAGATTTTTAATCCTAAATCACTTTCAAGAGTTTGAGAGCCTAGTTGCGACAATCTTTGCGCACCAAATGTTCAGATTCAGAATCAAGTGCTGAAGTAGCTTCGTCCAGCAACAAAACTACTGGTCTTCTAACAAGTGCTCTTGCGATAGCAATTCTTTGCTTTTGCCCACCTGTAAAAGTTTTTTTGAAATTCAGTTAGAATATTTAACTGCGACCCTAATGATTTGTCAAATCGTTCTAACCGGACATCTGGCTTCCCTTCTCACCAACATTTGTTTCATAGCCATTCGTCGTATCAGTGATAAAGTTGTGAGCATTTGCAAGTTTCGCTGCATTCTCAACTTCATCCACAGTAACATTTTCAACACCATAACTAATGTTCTCTCTCACTGAACGTGAGTATAAAACAGGTTCTTGTCCAACTAAGGCGACCTAAACGAGTCCGTATAACGACTAAATATAGCAAAGTGAATAGGCTGATGATGAGAAAGAGACTTGCGTATGAAGAAACTTGTGGTCGTATTCGTGAATTGGAACCCCGTCGAGGAGCACCTGACCACGCTCTGGTTCATAAAAATGCTCGAGCATGGCAATACAAGAGCTTTTCCCACCTCCAGATGGACCAACTAGAGCAACCACTTCGCCGGGATTTACTGTGAACGAAACATCCTGCAAGCGTCGCTTACTTAACCGTTGCTTATCCTTAGGTTTATTCTCTCAGCGGAATATTTAATGAAACTAAAGAGAGACCTGCATCACTGGACAGTCTGGCTTTGTTGGGTAACTAAAACAGACATTTTTGAATTCAATTTTGCCTTCCAACTTTTTTGAGCCATCAAATTTAGTCTTTCCCCTGTTCACAACTTGTGGTTTCCTGTCAATGAATTCAAAGACTTTTCTAGATGCTCCAACCGCTTGCATCAAGCCATTCCATACTTCTCCAAGTTCCTTGCAAAATTGTAGTTGATTTCATGCCATTAGCAGAATAATTTGTCAGAAAGCCCGATAAAAGTTGAAGATTTTGGCATTTATTTAATAATTACTATTTTGTATCTTTCTAAACGCGATAATACATACTCGAAGGTTTTCGCCAAGTTGGAACTGATAGAGCAAGAAAGACACTAAAAGACCTGCATCTACCTGGAAAATGAATAATGAACACGCAATTGAAAAACTCATTTTTTGCAATACTCTAGTTTTTGGTACAGTATGTCAGCATTTGAAATCCTGCGCATTACAGAATAAGTAAGTATATTAGAACAGAGTTTAATTTATCGGCTGCAAAACGTCAAGAAAGAGCTAAAGATTTTTTGCCAGTAACATATTTAGTTTTAATAAATTAAAACTGCTCAGCAAAACTTTAAATAAAAGTTTCAAATAAGATTCTTAATTGGTGAAGAAAGACGGTAACTATAAACCCACTAACTTTTGATCTGATAAGTAAATGTCCACCGTACCAGAGAACGGCAATCAAAATGCCCATTTGTAATATCTAAATAAATCTGCTACTATAAATTTCAAGCTTTCAGCTACACTTGCGGCAAACTAAGTTCTATCCAACCACTTACTTCAGAAGTCCATAAAAATCCTATATGGGCAATTGATTTTCGTACCCCAATTGCCAATGTTATATCGAGGAAATGAAGAAATCTAAACTGTGAAACTAAATAGACTTAAAATTGTTGAGACTAGAAAAATGTAAAAAATCTTTTAGAAAAATGCAGTATTAATTTTTCAAAGTTTTTTGACTAAAACAGCTACAGAATTTCTGGGAATTTGAGAGACAATCAGTTTTTTTCAAATATACAAATGCAGTTACGTTCAATAAAATCAAAATTTCGAATTGCTTTAAAATACCTGTTATACCGCCTATCAACTTGATAAAACACAAGGTGTATGAAAAAAATACATTTTATAATTGATTAAGTGCCTACAGTTTCTTAAATCATTCCATTTAGATGGTATCAAAGTCTGGTTAGAAAAAAAAAGCGAATGATCACACAACAAAATGTTTCACTTAAACAGTGAATTATGAACCAAATGCGTTCAGAAAAAGAAAGCCGAAGTATGATTTACGTTTTTGTTTTACAAAACAGTTGTTCACTTTGTACATTTTATTTTGCTACACAACCTTTGCATCAGCCTATGCTTTTATAATTTAGTTGTTTGAGCAGGTCGTAAAGGTTGACCACAAAATTTTCTGAATGCTTTTTCAATTTGTTACGCCTGCTTCAATCGATTCCTTTCGGCTTCAACATCGCAAATAAAACAGCACCTTAACACTAACAAGTACCTTTGAGCGTGAAGAATCTTAGAAAGCTGAAGCACAAAAATTTATCTTTTGATGCACTACTTCAGAGGAATCCTATGTCGATCATTTTGACACTTCGCCACAATTCATTTCTTTCAGAAGTTCAAAAAAGCGGAATAAAAGAGCCAAAAGAAAGATGGTTCAGAATACTTCTTTAAGCGTTATTGCGGATTCTGTATTTAGTGTATAAATTTTCTTTTGTCCCCCATCCAAATTAAACACAATCAAATTTTTATTTATTTCATATCTTCAAAAGGCTATCAGCATCAAGAAGAATGTAATGATATTACTCTGGTGTCTATGCAAATTCAAAAATAAACCTATTCATCTAAATTCGGATTTTTTATTGTGGTGTTTTCGCCGCCAATTACTATCAATAAATCTACTTTATAGCTTATACCGTACCTGGACGATTCAAATTTTTCGCCTGCAAAACTCTTCACCGTTCTAATAGCGCTGATAACCTCTTCGGCAACATCATTGGCCTTTGCCACAGATTCTTGAATTTCTTCAGAAAGCCTCTGTAATTAACAGTGTTCATAGAGTTTTTGGCCCATGATAAAGACTATCAGAGGAATGTAGTGACGCAAGCATTTAATACCAACATCTTATTTTCCAATGATATAAAGCACCATACTCACGTACTTAAAACTTTTTGCAAATATCATAATAAATTTAAACTAATTACATCGTAATAAACACCGTAGACTTTAGAAATAAGAAAGATGATTGGTATTGCAATCAGTGTGACCATGGAGAGTCGCCAGGAGAGCGAGAACATAAAAATAACTGATCCAAACAGCATTGTTACGTTCCGCATAAGAACATTAATGTATAAGGACAAAGTGTTGGACATAGTCTGACAATCTGCATTCAAACGAGAACAAATTTCACCTAAATTTTGTTTATCTTGCACAGTCTAACTGAAATCAAAAGCCTAATGATAATTTCATCAAAAAATCTGTTAATTTTTAGTCCGAGATGTTTTATTGCTTAAAAAAGCGCCATCTGATAGCTGGATACCTTGAGAACTTTAAATAATTTGATATTTTAAACAGTTTTATCAGTTTTTAGCCAAATCCATAGACAAAAAAAAAATCAAAAACGCTATTTACTATAATATAAAATTTACTATTTACTATAATATAAAATATGCAATGCTGTAAAACTTTTTTGTAATATTTTTCCTCTACCAAATTTGGTACTTCACCAAAAAAGCAAAAATAATTCTATTTTCAGTACAAGATAATTTCTAATAATGATAATATCAGTCAAATTTTTCCCTAATCTACCAGAAACTCTTCGCTCATCTTAACCCCCTTCAGTACTAGGACGAGACATTATAATTTTTAAAGACAGTTTTCCGTTGTTGACCATAAAAAATCTGTATCATTCAAGAGAGAAAGTTGCAAAAAATTTTTAACCTTCTAAAAAAAAAGAACGAAAGTGTGTTAAGAACATGAAAAGATATGGCTGGTATTTCACCTGTTTTATTTTGATCAAAAAAACCAATTTCTTGTTTAACCAAAGACTTGAATAGATGATCTCGAATACGTCGGTCTATTCGAGCCTGAGCATAAGTAAACGATCCACCTCGTAGTCCACCGAACAGTGCTCTAAACGACAACAGATAATTATCTGCTAAAAGACGGCTGTACAGTACAAAATCGTTTCTTTCTCATTCACTCCGATAGAAAGAGCCAAAAAATAGACAGAAACTATTTTCAACTTTCACTTCTGTCATTATCGCCTTTTTAAAGTTACAGTTGAGCTTCTAGCAACCTGATAACTAGTAAATGCATTGACTAGCAATCAAGTTTTACAGAATTTTTAGTATGAACTAAAACTGACTTCATGCCTCAAATAATTTAGAGAGTCTGGATAGGTAATTACACTCCATAAAAAAACAACGTATTCGTCGTTATCACATTAAAAGGTTAAACTCTATTATTCAATTTGTACAATCTGCTTTTGTCACTCATCACCAAACTCTAAAAAAATTAACTCTGAGCCTTACCCGCTAAGTGAGAGAACAGTCATGACAAAGACAGATTTGTGAAGCTTGGCATATGATGCATCAGCCCCAAAAACACTTGCCACTACTTCTCCAGTATAATAGGGAGTAAAAACTCGAGCTAAAATGATTTTACTTTAAAAAGTTTGTAAACTCAACTCTGGACTCTTTTCTGAAGCAAAGGAAGAGTACAAAAAGACGTTGATTAAAGCAAAACCAGACGGTTACTTACACGAAGAGTACAGAAATAGAAAGCTAAATGCAACGCAATAGGAAGGCCACTCTTTAGCCATATATCCAAATAGCCTTAACAGCATCCTCATTGTTTCACGTTGAACCGACATACTTTCTTCTTCTTTCTAGAAACTGCAGCATAAACGCTGTAACATTAGTTGCTTTTCGTATTAGGCTTAAAAATTTACTTTTTGGATTTCCTGTACATATTCATCTTCGTCATTGAGAATTGGCATACTTTCCAGCGATACTGCATGTTCTCTAACTTTAGTGAACACACTAACCCATACTGCCTGAACAAAGAATCAGTATTTGTTAGTGGAAGCTTTGGCAGACCCTTCAACATTTCCATCCATTCCTATCAGTTTTAAGGCGTAATTATTTAAGAACAATGGCAAAAGTTGGATGATAAAACATCTTCAAAGAAGCAAAAGACCATAAAGAACGAAGTTTCTGTAGTAGAAACAGTGTATGTTGGGCAACAAAACCTGAGTAAAGAGCGAAGCCAGAATACACCAAATCATCAAAATCCAGTCCCCTACTGCAAGTTTCAGGTCGTCATCCTCATAAAAAGCCAGCAGTTTGGTCGGCGAAAATGCCACTATAATTAGTAGCACGGCAAAAACTACATTGCTAAATATTTCATACGTTACTGGAAGACTACCTACTGAAGAACAATAACACCACTATGCCTCTAATAATAAAGCTGCTACAATCACGATTAGCCTGCACCTTATATAATGGCGAAAAAGTTTTTTTTAGAAACATATAACACTTAAATTACTGCTTTGAACTCAACGGTATTTTTCTTTTGAATTCAGCAACCAAAACATTGCTGAAATACTTAGCTCTCGCAACATTCAACGACAACAATTTTTAGAACTAACAAGTTACAGTGTTTATTTATTGCAAGAAAAGGAAGCGCCTTATGACACTTGTAGCGGCCTCCCGAACCCTTACTTTATCATTCCCATTCTGCTATGCTGATAAGCAACGATTAATTTTATTTTTACGACTGTTCTTTAAAATGGCTACAACTCATCACCAAATGTAATGTGTCCTTAAATAGTGTTTTTGTTTTCCAGATATTTGTTTGCAGCATGCAAAAAAATTTGACCTCAGACTTATTGAAAAAAAAAAAAAAATAAAGTCAACGTTGCAAACTATGTGTTGACAAAGCTGCTGCTTTCCTTCAGTTTCTTTATCAGAGGAGTTAGCAGAGCTGACAACAGCAAATCGAGTAGAAATTTTGATGCTATCAATCCTCTCCGAAATGCTCACGCTGTTTCGCCTGGACAAATTAATACCACCAAAAAGGTTTACCGACACTACGTCTTCAGGGCTATCATCTTAACAAAAATCTCGCTTGTTCACTTGCATCTGTTCCCTCATCTCAATCATTTTCAAATCACAGGAGTGCTTTTTGTCGTATAAAAAGAAGTGTTTGAAGCAAGAAAAATCTAGGTCTTAACTTAGTTTTCCTCTCCAATAAGTTCACTACTGGTGAGAGCTGCTATTGAAATGTGGCTTTTAGTTAGATATCAGTAAATATTTCCGTCAAGTCAATAAAAGGACGATCGTCGACAATGATCAGTAGCGCAAAAGACCTATGTTTTCAGATTTAAATATTTTTTTAAGTGCCTCACTGTCGTATTTCCATTTTAACTACTGCTGTAGAAAATACATTAATCAAGAAAAAAATATTTGACGCAGCAGTTCTCAACTAAATAGACATAAGTTTTTCCGCTGGTTCAGTTCAATCAGTGCTGAAAGTCTCAAAAGATATAATTTCCGTAAATTTCTTGCTGTTTAAATTTCATCTAACGCAGGAGAGCTTAGTCTCAACTGTTACTCAATCCCAAGTACCCAAAACTGTTCTGAATGCAACATTTCTCAATTCTCAAGTAACCATAATAATGCAGAAAGTGATTTCTATTTTATCTGCGGAAAACTCAACTAGATGTACACTAGTAGATGCTATATACGTCTTCTGCAACCGTTTTCACAGTAGTATAGAATCAAAACGAGAATATACCAGACAACGTGAGAATTGTAACGAAAATAAAGCCGCTCTACAGATTAGTGAAACTAAATCGCAATTTAGTTTGAAGTGAAGTTGATTTTTTAGGCTCCTTAGTACTACACCTAGTTTTGTCAGGTATTCAATCCAGATAGTTGATGAGAATTTTTTTTCTTTTGTTGGCCAAACAAATCCAGCCATTCACTTTCACAATAATATAATGAATTTTGATGTTTCTGATTATATTATCCATATTTGCATAGGATGTGTTTATGTTGATTATATGATAAAAAACCTTATTGCTCTACAAGCGGCTGGACCTCCACTCGGGTTCGCGTATACTCCGACTGCACCTCCAAATAGGATACAAACCCGTATTAAAGCGACAGCCTTAAAAAAATTTCCTGACTCTAATTTTATATAAAATTCCTCATGAGGCATAAATTCCTCATTGACAGTCAGCAGTTTCAGGTGAAAATATCAGTTTTCAAAAAAATTAGTATATTTCAATTATTCATCCAGCAACTTCTGAAAACTTGATACTGGAAATGCCACTTCAAACCTTAGAGCCATTCCTGACTAAAATCCATCAGAATTGCAATCAAAGGGAATCGTTTACATTTTTGGTGGCTTGTAAAAATCTGTAGCTACAATTATGGTCAAAAAGATTAAACCGTAACAGAAATCTAGTCATATCAAAAATCTTTAATCGGTAAAAATTAACTGGTGCTATAAGGTTCAGAGCAAACGTTACCATTTGTCACCGATAGAAGCAACAAAAGAAAAGAGGGGAAAATGAAGGCCAAGTTTAGCTGACAAAACCTTTTGTTACTCTGTCAGCAAAAAAATTTTTGTTTTTGTAGCATAACGCTTTCTAAAGGTATCATTTCTTTTTTTTTTTTTTCGCCATTAAGTTTGGACTTCCAAGCAAGGCAAACCCTTGAATTTAAGTCCTAGCTAAGCCAGAATAAAAAATTTTTTTCTTATAACATTTTGGTGTTAAGATGCAGAAATCCAGGCAACATTGTTAAACAATTAATATCACTTAAGTCAGCTACTGACTATGTGTAGTTCCTGTTATACTCTCACAGATCCTATTTTAAATAAAACTATTATTTCCAAAAAAGCTACTAAAAAAGTGAAGGAAAACTGACCAAAAAGTCTACCGGGTTTTGTTTGAAGCAATAATTTTTAAGATCGAACCAATGTTGTATGTTGGCAAAAGTGAATGTGCTACCATTCCAGGCCAGCCCAAACACGTTCATCAAAACATCGAAAGTACCAAAGGCCACGGCAATAAATAATGCTTGAGATCCACTGTACCAAGTTACTGTCATAATGCTAAATTGGTCAGTTTTTATAGCCCTAACATAGCTGAATTCCCCAGTAAAGATAAGCAACAACAAAGAAGCACATATTTGTAGGAAAAACAGAAACGAGGTTATAAAATAATTGCTAAAAATGAGGATTTTTTGTTGCTGTTCAAAATTTGTAGTTTCCGTTAGAAGTGATAAACTTCTTCTTAGCCACAGCCACACTGGTCAGCATAAATATTACCTTAAACCAACTGTACTTACATCCTTAGAAGTATTTTTTGCTTTAGAATACAAAAAGAGAGACTGAATTTTCAATCAAATCACTTAACATTTTGTGAATGCCAAAATCTTTATTTTTAAGAATTAAAACTCTTTTTACTGCATATTACCACCTTCCGTTTTCCAGTTTTTTAACCTTTTTTTTACAAAAGTAAATTTTTTGACTAAGTAACTTTAAATTAATTTTGTTTTACTGAATAAGTACTGTTGGGTCAATAAAAGCAAAAAGGACTGACAAACAAGAATAATAAATCAGGAGAAAAATGAAAATTTGAGTAGCTTACCAACAACGGTATTGATTCTTTGAAGACGTTTGACTTTTCGTTGAGCACCGAAGATAAGAAAAGTGCTGAGCTCAGCAACCCAAAAAAAATATGTTATGCAACTTCTACATTGTTCCAGCATTGAAGAAAAGAAGCTGTTGGTAAGAAAAAATTTTTAGCAGTTTTGTTGGCTAAAAACTTGATTAACAAATATATAACCGTGATTTGTTGCAAATGTCTACAACCGCTTAAAATAGCAGTGAACTTTTGAAACGACTTATCGGTAGAAGAATTCGTCGAATGGCATCGCAATTTCGACTTCAGTAACAGTTGATGTCTTTCAAAAAGTAAAACAATCAAATGGAATTAGAAGAAGACAGCTGAAAAATTATGATCGAATAACACTTTTAACGAAATCATCATGCTTACTTTTTCGCTGAATCAAGTAGCCATCACTGCACACACGATCACTGGATTATTCCAAGAACCGGCTCAAAAGCAACTAAATTAAAAACTGTTGCTTACTAATTCTTTAAATGGTTTTTTCAGTCCAAAATACCAAATTCCTTAAGCTATATCTTCTTAAAATAAACATTTAAAAAGCGACTTTGTAGATGAGTTGTTCTGAATAAAATCCGGCAGCTTAACAGCAGTTAGAAGCATTACAGTAGAATAACTATCATATTAGAATAAAAATCATTTTATTCTCCAGAAATGATCTTTATTCTAAACAAAAAAGACGAATGAGACGTCTGAAACTTATGTTGAAAGTTTTGGCGTGTAGCATTAGAAGTCCGTCACTTGACGAATTTAATGTTTGAAAAAAGCAGCAACACTGACAAAGGAGCTTTCTAAAATCGTGCTTTTTACTTGCTACCGCTCAGGGCTGTTTTTCACCATATTTTTCAAAATCATCAAATCTCTATCAACTAAGAAAGGTCCGTCCGAGATTTTAATATTGAACCAGTTAAAATTAGTAACACTATAGACTGTTCCGTAATTGCAGACAAGAGAAGTTCAGTTCAAGATTAAGGTCGCATGCAACATGAAGGCAATATATGCTAAAATCTTGTGTGTTATAGGATAACCAGCGACCTACTAACTGTTTTACAGTAATTACCATCCTAATACGCTCCACAGACTTACAAGTCTTTTCTTCAAGAAAATCTTCAAATGTTCATCATGTTACTACCTCAAGTAAGCATAAATTTTCTAAAAACTGCTTACGAGTTTCTCAACGGATCCATTTCCGGAAAACAGACTAAAGACTACACAAGACTAACTCTCTCCTTAATAACATACTATTCTGCCATTTTAAAAATTGCTTGAGATCGCTATCTAAAGAAAAATTTAAGGTCTATTAAGAAAAGCTAAAGAAACACTTGGATAAACCTCTTAACAAGAGTTTCTCGCTTCAAATTCACACATGGCTTTTTAATGACCGTAAACTTCCAAAACGTGAACAATGTCCACTGTTCTACTGACGAAAACTGTTTCATGACGTTTGATCACTTCAACACAACAGTATTTTCCTCGTTGTCGTCAGATTAAGCTAAAAAATAACTACGCCTTTGGCTAACCCAACTATTGCGTCAAACCGAACGTGCGCGTAAGACTAAACACACATCCCAGCCATACACTTGAAAACTCAACAAGCCTTTACGGCAGCACTTCGTACAAAAAACGTGCCATTACTAAATTGATCCCCCACTATCAACTGTAAAGGACATAAACATCAAAAAACCTCACTGAAGAATCACTTTTGACTTCTATGGAGCATAAAGAAAATCACAGCTAGACCCTCCATTCATTCAGTAAATGGCCCTTAGTAAATTTAGTAGATGCGGAAAGCTAATACCAAAGCCATAGAAATCTAAGACACCATGTCTAAACAAGTCCGAGTCAATCATTTTTAACTGGAAAACATTTGATTATTTTAACAACAGGTCCAAAGTGGAAAAACTTTATTAGCAACTTTTTTCTGAACAGGTACCATTGAACTTAAGACGTCTTCAGAAGAAAACAATAAAATTTGAATATATGGCTAATAAGGTCACAAATACTTAACCTTGCTTAACATCGTCCAGCATTATTCAAAAAAACAGCAAAAATTGAGGGGGTAAAAATAGCTTGCACTAACAATAAGGCACCCACTTGAACTATAAAGATTTTAAAATAACAAAACCACAAGGCGATAACACTGACAAACGTCTAAAGCTGGCTTCAATTCCTGGTACGAACATCAATTAAACAATGGATTATACCGCCTCCGCAATACAGTTTCTCTACAGAAACAGCTACAGCTAATAAACAATATTTGGCAAATGACTGACCTATGAGCCAAAAAAGTTCCCAGGACATCAGAACGCAACAACTCCTTTTCGCTTTTACAGCAGGAAAAAAAAACATAAATTATATTAAAAGCGTAACTCGTAGGAAGATAATTAGCATAAACGAAACAAAAATATCACAGTACACAGTTTTAAAACAGTAAACCACTTTTCAGGCCCCTTCAGAAGATGAACCCACATTAAATAGTTTTAAAAAAAATCAGCTATTACACATAGGACAGGGAAGAAAAAACACTGCTCGTAAAAGCACAAGTCAAGAAAATAATGCGGATCCCTGAAATCCAAATGAGCGAACCACAGCAAGTTTTCATGTATAAAATAAAACCATATACCTTACAAGCCCTTTCACTGTGTCCAGTTAAAAAATAATTTATATCATGTACATACAAACGTGACACATACACTTCATTTTCAATAGCGGCCAACTTCGCAGAATCCTAGTTGAAAAGAGCACAACCCTTAATAATTCCAAATAAAAGAGGAAAAGACTCAGAAAGTTGGAAATTCAACCAGATAACTGCAAACTCAGTGAGCGTATCTCACTGTCCAGATTCTTGCGGTACGTTCAAACTCTTCCCTGTTTGAAAGATACTGTTCAGCAATTCCACTGACAAGGGGATCAGCTAGAAAACATTTAAATAAACGCGTTACTGATTACTTTGTTCATCCCTGTTTGCTGATACAGAAATGAGGAGAAAAAAATAATCGTGTTCAGTGAAACTAAAATAGCAAAAAAGAATTTGCATGCAAGCAACCATAATGGCTTATTTTACTAAGAAAGGAAAAACGAACCTGGATTGCAAACATACATAAGGGTAACTATAGACTGCAAAACTGTTGAAATTGTCATTGAAGAACTCCATCCGCTCCTCAAAATATCAACACATACAACCCCTTGTGTATTGATATTGCAATGGTATATTCTCGTCAAAAAACGAACCTAAAATATTAGCTACTCTTCACTTCCAACAAGAGGATCTAGGAGTAGAAAAGAAAAGAAAATAAAATGAAAAGCTAGAGGCAATACCTAATAAATGAAAGAAAACTAACTCTTGGAGGCAGAAAGGGATAGTTTTTCGGAATTGAGAGTTCGAGGAAAAATGTTCCACCTTTATACACCGTATCTTCTGGGCCTTCAATAACCGCAGCCCATTCAAACAAATTATCACCTTTTGGTGCTGCGTGGTACCCTGCTGAACCATCTCGTTTTAAATCCTCAAGCTAAAAACATATAAAATGATGATCAGCTCCAGAACTATCGACTGTGAATGAAAAATGAACCAAATGGTGTGATAACGTCAAACCAATTCGCATTCAGAAATAATGTAAATAAGAAAAAAATCAGGAGGAAATTCTCACCTCTTTAAGGAGCCTTTGGACGGCAACACCACTACCTAATGAAACATTTGAGTAGAGCCCAATCGTTCTTGGGTCCCAGTTGGTCCTACTTCTCCGGAACGAAGTTTCCTGAAAACAACTTTTCAAGAAGACCTCTGAAAGAAAAATCACTATTGCAGAAGTACTTCATTAACTCTAAATAGAAGCCCTTAAATACACATCTTCCAGCTCCCAGGTTCCTAGAACCCTGCAACTACTAGATTCTATGAACTATTAAGGCTTTACACTTACATAATCCTCGTCAAGAGGAGACCGGTCTCTAGAACTAGTTGCGACACCTCCTGTGTTCCTATAGCTCGACGACCGTAAAAGATTCGACGCTGTGTGAAACACGTTGCGTCCATGCAATTCCGGGACGTCCATCTACTAGTCTCAAAAGCCTTGTTAAATTAACACCAAACTTTAGCCTTAAGAAGATAAACCGAGGTCGAACTCAAAAACCTTTCCGTTCAACGTTGCAAACAGAAATGAAAGGTGAAACCGTTGGACATCTTAACCGGCAAGCTGAACAAAATTTCGACGGTTTCGAAATGAACCTTTGTTCACATCACGCAACCTCTACCTGCTTCAGAAATTAGATATTGGCCATAACAGAAATCTACAGAAAATTGAAAAATTGTGCTATAAAAGTATCGTATATTGCCTTAATCTCCCATTATTAAGTGCAGTGTAACTTAACAAGAAGAAAACAAGCCTAAATCAATGCAGTTTTTCTGGATAGACGAAAAGATGTATGAAGCACAACAACAGCAACAGTTCATTATTACAAATTATTACAGCAGAATACTAAAATATAACTTACGCAGAAAGAATTCTTGATAAAACATTCAATTTCATCCAATATCCCACAAACAACTTACAAATACGCAAACATTCACGAACACAAAGAAGCTTCTAAATTAATTGAAGCTAATGACAAAATATGTATAGCAGTTAATTCCTCAATACATAATGCAAAATAAAAAAAAACTTCCGAACTTTTTGAAGGCTGAATGCGAATGACAATAAATGCCAATTGACTTTTAAATAAGCAGACTCAACCCTAAGTTACTCAGGTTATTTCAGAAACGAATTATGGTATGTGAATGAATGACAGGCAAAAGTGATACAAGCGTTCCAATAAACCTTTGAACACAAATATACACAACAGGCACCGCCAAAAATCAGACTGGAAAAGTTCTAATAAACTTATTCATTCATCCAATAAAAAAACCACTCAAACAGTATGCAACTTACGAACTTCAACGTGAGAAAAAAGTAGGCAACTTGGGAACACTAGGAACATGACTTCAGCAAAAAAAAACTTAACACTGTATAAAACAAATGCTGACGCAAAAGTATCAAGTTGTTTATAAGAAACTACACCACTCAGCATCTCCGAGAAGTAAGCCCATTATAAGTTTCCGCTAAGGCCCCAATAAGAACACTAAGTTAATCTCAATCGAAGGTATTCAGCAAAAACTCCACCACACCAGAACTACCGGCAAAACTAGAAAGCCCATAACATGCTAATATTATTACCCATCAAAGACTGATCAAAAGCAAACGAGTTTCCACCTAACTCACGAAAAAGAGTTAAAACCTTATGTATCAAACGTCCAACAAAACACAGCTTCTTGTCAATGGGCTAAACAAAAATTTCAGAATACAAAACAGGTCACGTGACTATAGACACCATAACCATAACGACACTAGCCACAACAAACCGTATCTCTAAGAGTTACTTGCAACAAGAGCCAGACCCAAGTCCCTGGTTAGTGTTCTCTTGCCCAATATCAACTCCTTCTCGTCCGCGTCCAGAAGGTCCACCACCACTAGCATCTCCTTTTGGCAATTTCTTTGCTAAAACCACTCAGATTGTAAAACAGGCACAAGTTAACCAGTAATTCTTACCAGTTACTTTAAAAAAGGCAATATATGCCCTCAAACAACGAAGACATAAAAAACAATACCAATTGCGTGGAAGATATCATTTACATTCATTGCCGTTTTAGCAGACGTTTCCATAAAGAGAAGTGCATTGTCATCAGCATATGCTTGAGCTTCCTGAAAAAACTATGCTTACTCTCAAGTTATTAATCATCATCAATAAATGTAATAAACTTAAAAGAACTCTTCCATCCTGAAAAATACATAATTCATGTGGTCGAAATGAAGTACGACAGGACTTCAATTTAAGTAACCTCAAATTCCACCACTCGTTTATTTGCCAGATCTGCCTTATTTCCAGCCAAAGCAATAACGATATTAGGGCTCGCTTGCCGCTGCAGTTCCTTCACCCAATTCTTAGCCTTTGCAAAAGACTCCTTAAAATAACCCTCATAAAAATGAATTCCATTTAACGATCCTTCCTTCAAAATCAAAATTTATGTCCCTTCAGCACAATAATACTCAAAAAAACTCCAAAACAATAAAGAAATTTTCAAAATTTGACTCATCCTTCATCATAACAAATTTCATCAAAACCTGCTTGAACAAATAACGTTTTAATCTAAAAAAGATTGGAGAAAAACCAACTTGATTAGTAATATCATATACAACTATTGCTGCCTGTGCACCTCTGTAATACATTGGAGCCAGGGAGTGGTACCTAAAAATAAGACAGAACTAAACCTTCACAAATAAACTTAGTTTGCCTGTGCCTATTTCAAAAAATTACACATCTACTTTAAGGTAAAAAGTGGTTTTAAAAATAACCTTTCTTGTCCTGCTGTGTCCCATATTTCAAACTTTACTGTCGTATCATCCACACACAGTGTCTGCGTTAGAAAAGCAGCACCGATTGTTGACTCTTGGTACTCATGAAACTGGCCTTTTACAAATCTCAGTACGAGTGAAGATTTACCTGAAGGCATACTTAATTGCTAGTAAACAGAGTAAGTACTACAAATTCATGCGATGTATTAATCCTTTACTAAACCAGTTCTTGCAGAACTATATCAGGGGAATCTACACCCAAAACTACGTCTGCTTAAGAGACGTTAAAAGGGATAAAATCCACATCAGATAATTAGAATACCATTTTTTAGTGCAAAAAAAGGAAAAAAATCTAAAGTTCTAAGGAAGGATAAAACGCGTTAATTAACGCCCTGAACTTTTTGAACATATCCGTTTTCTGACCATACAACAACCTCATCAGAAATTCAAACCGTACAAAAATAATAGAAGCAACTTTTTTGAGCTAAACAACTAAATAACATAAACAAAACCACAACGACAACTTATCATATTACACACGGACGATAAACTGAAACCTAATAATACTTTACGCACTCAAAATAAATGAATAATATACCCTGAAACGAAATATTCGTGAATATGACTTGGAATAAATGCACTAAATTTTAGAAAAAATTTATAGAAACAAACCAGGTATCACTTTTAATGTTTACTGCGGTGCTTAAGTGGACTTAAACACAACATAACACAGCATGAGAAGAGTGATCTGTACATTTCTGTGGAAAGTGATATCAAAATAAATAAGAAAAATGAACTGGTAAAAAACAAACCAACAGCGCTTTCTCCCAACAATACAAGCTTGAACTGGCAAGTTTTGCTAGAACCCCCACCTGCAGATCCACGCGCACCTGACCTTCCCGCCATTGAAACTCGCACGCTGAAAGTTAATAGCAATTGTATTTTTAAAGACACACCAATAATACCAATAAATTTTAGCAGTTTTCGAGAAAACAGAAAAAAAGCAGAAACACCATATAACAAATGGTCCAGTTTAGCACCATGCAACATGGATTCTTTTATTTGGTGTTTATTTATGAATCTCGTGGGGACGATACCATCTGCTGACGGAAAGACAGTAACAAGTACTAGTTGAGCATGAAAAGACGTTGAACAGTTGTCAATTAGAAAAGCAAAAAGGTAAATGAATATCGTGTAATGTTACAACATTTTTCACATCAAACTCATAAATGGAAGATTATAAAAACTGTACTGCCAAATGAGCGAACTAGAAGGTTATTTCTGCAGATGTAGATCCGGTTCTGACCGGGATCAGTGCCAAAACGTTGTCTGGCAAGCCTATATTTAAAAGCACTCTAATTTCGATCAATACTGCTCAGAGATATTGTCAACCGCAGTTCAACCACCAGTCCAATATAATATATATAGGAGACACAACGCAACGCATGACAGCTGGCACTTTGCCATGCAACTTGGTCACACCAAGCCACTACATCGGATTTCCGTGCCGGACAGCACTGCGGTATATCCTGGTCAGCCGGTGTCAGTCCACAAAAGGATGTGACTAGGTCTTGAGGTATATTGGTAGGCGCAACGGTTATCATGGCGCAAGGTTGCAGCGAACAGTCATGTTGTCGCGGAGCCGCACAGTTTACTCCTCGTACTGGTTACTTATGCGTACGGTTAAAACTTTATCGATATGAACGTCTTACAAACATGAAGTCACTACATATCTACAACAACAAATCGGTTGTAGTTTCTTTGCCTCAAGTTTCTAATTTCACAGTACATTCTTATTCATTTCTGTCTCAAACCTTTGTGTCCCGCCACCAACTGTAGCAAAAAAATAGCAGTTTTTAGTACAAGGTTCTTAGTGAATAACCTGCGATATATTGAAGGCAATTTTACACATAAAGCCAAGCGTTCTCGCCATTTCGAAAGCTACAGAATTCCTCACCTTTAAGTAATTTAGAAGTTGACAGATGCCGATCATATAGGACTCAGCACCCGAGTTTTAAAAAACGGCCTTTTACTTGCTATGTGCTACGGTGGTAGCGACGGTTACACTACATTAATACGTTTACAAAAGTTCCGTAACAGACAAGATTTCATCAGCACCCCTCATGAATCACAATGGAAAGTGCAAATCTGCACAATTTAACTATGGCAGTAATACGAGAAAAATGGATAGAAAGCTAAAAGTCGTTAACCTAAAAAGCTGTCGCATTCACTTTCCTGCGAAGCTGTTACAAAAATCCTTCCTTTATTGACTGTGTTACTGCAGCTTCAAAGGTTGCTTTAATTTTATCAGGTCTAAAATCTTGATAAGCTCCAGTGTACTCAATTAAAATCGTACCCCAAATGGAGTCAGAAATAGTCACGACAATGAAAAAACTACTGTGAATCACTTCACTCAATAATTAACTAATTTTAAACCAATGAAAACTATCTAATACAACAC